GAGTGACAAGGCCACTAGCCAAGAGCTGCCAGCAGCCACCAGACGCTGGAAGAGGCAAAGAACAGATTCTCCTCTAGAGTCTCCAGAAAGGGCACTGGCCTGCTGACCCCTTGATTTCAGCTCAGAGACACTGATTTCTAGCCCAGGAACTGGGAGAGAATAAATGCCTATTGTTTTAAGCCACCCAGTGTGTGGTAATTTGTTATGCAGCAGCTAAAACAGGAAACTAAAACACAGATCAATGGACTTCCTTGGCATAGATGGCTCGGGTGCCCAGCACTGTGAGTTGAGAATTAAACATCTCCCAGAGCACATGAGACAAAAACACAGCAAAACAGCAAAACTGCCCATGTGTTCCTTTCTGCTGGGGAGAGCTGGTATTATTCCACACTAGAGATAACCTCATAAATTTAATATTGTCTTAGTGTATTTTTTATCTGTTTCCTACAGCCCTGTGAAAAATATCTGTGGCTGTAAACTATATGTTTTCAAAGATTTCTGTAAGATCTAGTAATTTTACTTCTTAAAAACTAAGGATATGAAAATCTTTAAAGGTGGTGATTTATTTTGCTAAATTACTTTCTAAATCATGTTTGTGTCCGTGTATCCTCTGTGCATGCTGTAAAATATGGAAGTGGCCGTTCATCACACCCTCACCAGCATCTTTGCTAATCTGATAGGATGAAAAGCAGCATCTCTGTCAATTTGCATGTTTCTGATTAATAGTGAGGATGAAATTTTCTTTCCACATATTGATTTATTAATGGAATATTCTCTACTCCAGGGCTTAGTGCAATGTTCAACCTCTACCATTTCCCACCAATTCTACACCAGGAAAATCCCCGGGGTTCATTTTATCCTTCCCATTTTTACAGATTTATTTCAAGATGTCATCTCTCACTTGGGCCATTAGATCCCTTGCTAAAGAAAAGAACGCAATTATTTTTGGTCGCATTCCTCCAGCTGCAAGGCCTCGCTGCCTCCCTACTGTCTATCAAAGCAGCCTCAGCTCCTCGCCTGATGTTTAAGGCCACTCGTGATGAGCCTTCCTCACCAGCCAACTCTGCCTCTGGCCAGTCCTGTGTGTCTTGTCCTCCACACAGGCTCATCCTGTTCCACTCACACAGAAGAGGCTTCCTCCACCTTCCCCTAACTCCTCAGCACGTTGTGTTGAGTGAGATTCAGTCCTCACTCTCCAGCCCCACTGTGGGGCCCTGTCCAAGGTCCTGGAGACAACGTGTGAATAGGATGGAAGTTCCTGACTCGGCGGGTCTCACAGTAAGGAGAGGCTGCAGGAGGGCACAGATGTATTAATAAAGCCCTTGGGGTTTAAGGAGCAAGAACCTGCTCAGAGTGGCCCAAGCCGAGAGAGAAGCTTATTGGAAGGGGATGGGATTTCTCAGAACACAAGGGCAAACAGCCCAGCTGGGGCTCGTGGGAATTGGGAATTAGAAAGTTGTCAGAAAGAAAAGCCTCCCTCTCTGCCTCTCCAGCCTGCACAGTCATTGCATCCGCTTCCTTCCTTCCCCTCCCTGGGCCAGCTGCCTCTCTGCACACTTATTTGCTCGGGGACCCCACTCTGCATCGTGGCCTCCCCACCCAGGCTCACCACCAGTGGGCAGTGGTCTCTATGCAGACACCACTCAGAATCTCAACAGGGAGAATCGACTTGGCTTGGATTTACTCCCTTTGCTCAAGGTCCCGTCATTGGCTGTTGGTGAGCCCACAGGCCCTTGAATCAGGCTTCTCCCCCTGGTTCCACCAGCCATGGCTGGAGACGGAGGGCAGGGAGAGTCAGGTCAGATACCACCAAGAGTTGTCAGAATCTGAATTTCTGGGTGACTCATGTGCTTCTTAATGTTTAAGAAGCACTTCTATAGAGCAGCGGGTCAGAGTGTTCCCTGATCCAGCACAGCGGCCTCACCTGGGGACTTGTCAAAAATGCAAATCTGGAGGGGCCCGGAGGGGCCTGGGGAGAGGTGGACACTTCCTTCACACAGGTGCCGGAAGAGAGCCCCGCCCTCCGCCCTCTGTCTTCCACAGAGAAGACTCCTATCTTCTTTCCATGACAAAGAGCCAGCGTCTTGCTCTCCGCTTGCCACCAGTGGGGCTGGCAAAGAGAAACTGCCACACCAACTGCTGTGTGTAAATTTAACATGTTGAGGGTTGTTTGTGCTGGTCGGAGGCATGTCAACTCTCCCTGCGGCCCCTGTTTTCCAATTGAAGCCACAATGAGGGAGACAATTATAGTCGTATCCTTTAAGGATCATGCGTTTTAGTGTCCTGGTTGGTTCCCACCTGGACCAGGTTCCTGTGGTTGCTGTAACAAACCACCAGATGACCTACAATGACAGGAGTTACAGCCTTAGGCAGGAGTCTGGGATTCAGGAGTCAGCAGGGCCGTGGTCCCACCGAAGGCTCTGGGGGGAAGAACTCTTTCCTCCCCCAGCCCCTGGTGGCTCCAGGGGGTCTTGGCTTGTGGCTTCCGACCACACTCTCCGCCTCCGCCCTCACGCAGCCCTCTCCCCTCTGTGTGCCAGGTCTCCCTCGGTCTCTGTCTCGTAAGTGCCCTTGTCACTGGATTTAGGGACCACGTCACTAGCCCAGGATGATCTCACCCTGAGGTATCCTTCACTAATCACATCTGCAAAGACTCTTTTCCCAGTAAGGTCACATGCACAGGCTCTGGGTGGACATATACTTTTTGGAAGGTGCTCTCATTCAACACTCTTTACCACCCTCTCCACCAAATGTTTGGGACCAGGAGGGACAAAATGGTGTCCCCGCCCCACCTTCGTCCTTGTCTAGTGTAGCAACAAATGAAAGCTTATTACGGCCAAACAGAGAAGAACATCAAAGAAACAAAGCATGACCCCTTTCCTCCAGGAACCGACGGTTGGGTGGGACCTGAACTGCCAAGAAGAGCGTGCCTTTGCTCCCTGCCCTCGTCCCCCGCCCCACCATGGCAGCACTCACCCTGGAGGAAGGGAAAGTGCATGGGGAGGGGTCTGAGCACCGGGACGGCATTCTGGGGACTGCACAGCCTCCAGCAGCTCTTGAGATGCACATTCCCTCCCTTCTGCAGCTTCCTGGGAACTTGCTAGTGCAGGAGGTTTTTTGATTGCCGGGGCAGCAATTAAGGAGGGGACTATCAGCCAAGTGGTTCATTCTTGGGCCTCGGCAGCCAGTTTTCTGTGCAGCCTGTCTCAGGGCCAAGGGAGATGAGACCTTCCCAAAAGCCAGCTGGTGTCCAGAAAGGCCCACTCCGGATGGCCTCTACTGTCGTTGGCCCAGCAATGGTGAGTGAAGAAATGAGAAGAAGCCACCCTGGCCTCACTGCGCTTCTCTGACAGGTGCCTGGAAGAACGAGGTGTCTGCCAGCGGGGGACCACTTGGCACAGACCAAGGGACAGCAGAGGCAACTGGAAGGCTGGAGAGCTGAGGACAAGGCGTTTGTAGTGGAAACAAGCAAATAGGTTAGACTTGCATTCTCTTCCCAGCTCGGCCACTAACCAGCTGTGTGAGATTGGCAGAGTTCTAAAATAACAAACCTCTACAAACCATCAGAAAAAGACAAACAATCTAAGAGGGGGGAAAATGGGCAAAGAATTTGAACAGGCATTTTACATTAAAAAAAAACACAGATGGCCAAAAATATATACGAAAAGATGTGCAATCTCTCTAGTAATTAGGAGAACAAAACACGAGACAACCAGAACGTGGAAAAGTGGCAACATCTGAATCAAGTCTGCAGTTCAGTTAATAGCATCGTGCCGATGTCACGTCTCAGCTTCGATCCCCATATGCTCTCGTTCGGTAAGGGTCTCTACCAGGAGGAGCTGGGTGAGGGGTCTATGGGAATGCTGCATTTTCACAACTCTCCTGTGAGCCTAAACTTATTACAAAATAAGAAGGTAGACAATTACCACAACAGTCATAACAGAACACAACGAAGAGATACTGCTTCCCAACAGAATGGCAAGAACTACAACGATGAAGGAGACCCAGCACTGGAGGTGCTGTTGCTGAGGAGGTGGGAGGCCAATATGAAGCCCCTTCCTTGGAGAGCACTTTGGCCGTACTGGCTACAATCTCACCGTGCATGCCTTGGACCCCAACTCCACACGGCTTGGTACCTACCCTACCAAAATCCTTGCACTTATACCTAGGGGTGCTCACCACCACCCTACTGTAATAACCAGCAGCAACTTCAGCGCCCAAACAGAGCAAATGTACCAACACAGGAAAGGCTCAACGATATAGTGCATCTAGCCATGAAATGCTCTGTGACAGGCAAAAAGAAAGCAATAGGGCTACAGGAAGAAAAATGAAAAGGTTGCCATGCAAAAAGTACAGTCTCATCGATGTAAAGAAGAAGCACAAATAGCCCTGGCTGCTATGGCTCAGTGGACTGAGTGTCGGCCTGCGAACTGAAAAGTCGCTGGTTCAATCCCCAGTCAGGACACATGCCTGGGTTGTGGGCCAGGTCCCCAATTGTGGGCATGCAGTAGGCAACCAATAAATGTTTCTCTCTCACATTGATGTTTCTCTCCCTCTCTTCTTCCCTTCCTTCCCTCTATCTAAAAATAAATAAATAAAATCTAAAAATAGTATATAAAGCCATACATTTCTAAGTGTATGTAAATAGATGTGTATGCCAACACAAAAGTCAGGAAAGATACCCTCCCCACCAGCCAAAGTCCCTTCTGGAGGGGGCAGCAGGACAGGGACTGGGGCAGGCGGGGTGGGGGTGGGGGCGGTGCCAGGGGGACTTTGACTTTTTCTGTTCTCTTTGAATGTTTAACTTGAAGACTTTCATGTATTACTTATGCACTTTTTTGAAATAATTTTTAAACAGGTACTAACCTCTCAGCTGCAGCCTCCCTGTCTTTAAAATAAAGGAGTTACAATGTTCTGTGTCAATTATATCTCAATTTTTCAAATTTATTTAATCAACTAACTAAGTGAAATAAGGAGTTGTGTTAAGGCCCCTCGGAGGTTGCTTCCAGCTCTGAGCTCTTTAACTGGAAGTGGAGGCTGAGTTGTAAGCTGCCCCCTCCCCGTTCTGCCCCCACCCACTTCTTTCTCGCCCTCACAGTTTTCCTAACTCAGGGCTTTTGGGCTTGCTGTTCCCTAGTTGGAATGCTATTCTTCACATCTTCAAGTACTTGGCTCCTTCTCGTCATTTATAGCTCAGCTTAATGGTTACCTCCTTATCGAGGCCTCTCTGACCATCCAAGGTAAGAATGGGGGAGGAGAGAGAGACAGGGTCAGAGCATAGAGGGCCTGGGGGACCAGCACAAGGAGTTAGGGTCTCAGCTTTAGGAGGGTGGGGAGCCTCAGGCCAGTTTTAAATGCTGGGGGTGGGACGAGGTGTGGGGAAGGGAGCAGGTGGTCTCCACCACATCGTCAAAGACCACAGGTAGTATGACCCAGGCCTGGTGGAACACAGACCATAAGGCGAACCTGTCTTTAGGCAGCTGGCAGGGGGGCGGTCACCTCAGGGTAAACAGAGGTGGAAGAGGAGTGAAGGGTCGGAATGGATCTATTCCGGTGAGCGTCCTGTTGAAGGGCCTCTACACTCCTCAGCTCAGTGATTCTCCATCTCCCAGACACATGATGTTCCTCCGAACTCACGCACGGCAAAGCGTGTCCTGTTTCGACTTCTTCCCAGATCCTTGCACCAAAACCCAAATTTATTCTCAAAATCATCTCTCAGCACAAGGGCCCATCACCCCTTCCCTCCTTTTCTTTTTGTCTCTCCAGCTCTTTCTCTCAACCACTGCTTTCCACCCACCTTCCTTTCCCTAAATTTCCTAAGATTTTGGCCATTTCTCTCTCCCTTCCCTTGTGTTTCCTTCCTCACTTTTTGAGATTTGCTGCCCTTCCCTAAATCCCGCCCCTTGGGCATCTTGTTGCTGGTCCTGCCTGCCCTCCCTGAGTGCCCTTGGGCTGGCCATATCGTCCATCTCCTTGGCTCCACTCGCCTCTCCAAGACTGGAGGCCCCAGGCTGAACACACAGGAAAACTTCCAGGACTTCTGCCCTCTTCCTTCCTTCCCTCCAGCCCAGCCTCAGGAGCTGCAAATGGTTAACTGCAGCTCACTTGGGTGGAGAGGGAAGGTCATCAGGTCAGAAGAGGATACAGAAAGGGCAGGGATTCAGACCCCAGCCAGTGTCTCCCCTTATTGCTGTTTCTCACTGAGGGACCTTCTCCCTGCAGCTGGAGCCCTGGCTGCCGGAGAGGAAGGGTGCCTGTTCCCCCATTCCAACGAGGAGGCTAGGGGTCAGCACAGCTTGGATCACGTGTCCACTTGCACAGCCCAAGGGTGAACAGCATAACAGGTGACCCCATCAGAACTCTATGGCACAAATGGGTAAAAGGGGAAAGTCCTAGGCAGACAAAGGGGTCCAGTGGCCCCACATTCAGCCAATGGCCCAGCCTCCCTATGTACAAAGGCTGGGTCCTTGGCAGGCAGGGGGGCCTGGGGAGACCGGGCTGGCGACGCCAGCAGTTCTTGCCTCACCTCCTCCACCAGTGGCTGCCATCTGCAGCACACCCAGAACGCACCAGCTTCTGGCTCCATCAGGGTGTTCACTTCTAAGGTGCCAAAACCTCTGGATGCTCCCAAATCTGACTTTTTTCCAGCCACCAGCCCATCTGGAAGAATGTTATCTTAGATTTTAAAACGTCAGATTTGGAAGGGCAGTTGTCTCAGAAAAGGTATCAATTGTATAAAAATAGTAGGCTCACATTTCTCTCCAGGATGCTGCTTTTCAAAGAATCAGATTTTTTTTAGAGCTAAAAGACCCCTAGATGTCTTCTGTTCTAACCCTGTCATTTTACAAACAAAGCAACAGGCACAGAGAAGCTGAGGATTTTGCCCAATTATACCAGCTACCTAGTAGCACTGGCAATAAGGAATCCTAAAAATTAATCAATACTCGGAGTTTCTATGGGATGTTTGCAAACTATTTAAGAAAAAATGTAATGAAAAGTTATCCTGCATAGATATGCCTCAGTTCTATCTTTTTAAAAATATTGTATTTATTTTCTATTTTTAGACGGAAGGGAAGTGTGGGAGAAGGAGGAAAGAAACATCACTGTGTGGTTGCCTCTCACACACACCCTACTGGGGACCTGGCCTGCAACCCAGGCATGTGCCCTGACTGGGAATGGAATTGGTGACACTTTGGTTCGCAGGCCGGTGCTCAATCCACTGAGCCATATCAGCCAGGGCTCAGTTCTCTTTTTTAAGACTTAAATTTTAAGCCATAGATTTTTTTAACTACCTGAATATTAAGTCTCACTTTCCTCTTTTGTGCATTTATCTACAAAATGCTGTATCTTTCCATGTCTTTGATCTTCAACGGGCAATGAATCTTAGCTCTACATTTCTGTGCCCTTCGCCTCTGCGTCAGGCCTTTGGGGACCTGGGAGCAAACACTTCAGGGCACCCAGGGAATTAGGACAAGTTGCCCCAGTCATTGGTCCCTCTCTCTGGTTTATCTAGTTTGGATCTTCACATTTGTCTTCTTTAAAGATACCTACACTCAAACATTTATAATGTTCAGCACAATTTTTCTTCTCTTAGGCCGATCATAATTTTGATTTCCTATCCCAAACCCAAATGGCCCTAACTTGCGAGAGAAAGCAGTTCCTGTGGATGAACAAGCGAAGCGCGTGGGTGCCGAGATGCTCCTGTCGGACACAAAAGCCCCTCTGTGGCTCTGTGGGAGCCGGCCCCTCCCACCGCTCCGCACGGAGAAAGGGCACGCACTGAGCTCGCGCTCTGCTTCACTCGCCCGGATTTGTAAACAACCGAAGCATAACACAAACAAGTTGGGGTTTTTTTAGCTTGCTGGTGTTTTTAACTCAATAAAATGTTTGATAATTAACTTCATGAGCTTTTCTTTTCTTTTTTAACCCCTTATTATCTCCACCTTTGAATGGATTCCACTGGCTGTTTGAATTGGATGGTTCCTTCGAACACAGGGTGGGTTCTGTGCATGCACCTTGTAACAGTCAGGATAGGTGAGATTATGGAGTGGTAACAAATAACACCCAAACCTCGATGGCCTCACAAAAGTGTGTTTTCCACTCATGTTATATACCATGTGAGGATCAGAAGGGAGCTTGGAGCTTATTGTAATCACTCCAGGACCTGAATGAAGGAGGCTGCATCCTGACATCTTCCCGTACTCGCCTCAGCAGATGGAGAGAACTCCAGGGGGACTCCCACAAGCAATCAGATGCTCTAGCCTAGAAGTGATACCCATCACTTCCTTTCACAAGTCATTGGTCTGAACTGGTCACAGGACCCCATGCCACCTCAGGGCACCAGGAAGCCCTGGGCTCTGTGTGCTCACCAGGAGCAGAGGGCAGCTCTCCTGGCCTGCATGGATCTCAGCAAATACACGCACTGCTCACAAGAATCCCACCTTCCCACCAGGCCCAGATAAAAGCCTCTTGCAAGAGAGCCCAGAGCCAAAACGATTGGTCAAACATTTACATACCAATTAAGAGCAGGGCCTGGATGGGGCTGATGAATAAGGAGTAAGTGTTTAGACAAAAGTCATAGAGATTTTTCACCGAGTTTTATGGTATATGAGTTACATATCAAAAAAACATTCACCTGTTCCTCCACAGGGCAAAAAGTCCTGCAGGTGCCACAGGCATGCAGTGGGCGGGCCAGGGGTTCTGCCACCCACCTTACGGTGCTCAGGACAGGAAGGACGACGTGGTCCAAATGGTGCCATAACTGAGAAACCCCGTATATGAGCAATGTGAAGTTCACGTTCAGAAAGCAAAAATAAATCCCCAAACCAAAACAAACAAAAAGTCTCGAACTCCACCACTGCCTGTTGGTGTGAGGTTGTGGCCCCCACTGTAGCGGTCACACAGGGGCACCCGTGAGATGGGCCGCTGGGCCCCTCCCTGCAGGGCCGTGACCAGGTCTTGCTGCCATAACTGCTTACACATGGCCTCGACTCCCCAGATACCAGTAGCACTCCCTCCTCAGCAGTGACAGCCCAAAATGTGTCCAGTCAGTGACAAATGTCCCAGGAGTCAAAGTCTCCCCAGTTCAGAGCTCTTCCCACAAGGCATTCCAGTTTGCTGAGGGCCCCATTTCAGCTGTGCTGCAGAGGAACAAACCCTGAACTGGGAACTGTAAGCTCTGAGTTCAAATCCAGCCCTGCCATTAAATCACGCCTGTGCCTTCCCCTTTAAGCCTCAGTGCCCCTATCTGTGAGATGAGAGGATTGAACAGGGCACTCCCTACAGTCAGTGCGGAGCTCCCAAAGCTCTTGGGCTTGGTTCTGGAATTTCTCATTCTAACACTGTCCAGTCATAGCCTTACCCTCTCCCCAAAGAAAGGATGGAGTGAGGATTTCAGCTGCACAGTGCACAGCCCAGATGACAGGGGCTGCTGATGAGGGGACCACAGAGCCAGCAGCGTCCTGGGGAAAGAAGAGGATGAGAAAGACATGCACAGTTGGGACCCTGAAGGCATCAAAATAAAAGGCATTTCCTGGGCTGACCCCATGCCTGCCACTGCAAAGTCATCTGAACCTATGTAATAAGAAGAGGTGCCCAAGGGGTTGGTGAAGGGTTTTTGAGGTTAAGAGGACAAATAGCAAGCAAACAACACAGAGAAAAGAGCAATGCACCCATGAACAGGAGGGAAGAGTGTGTGTGTGTGTGTGTGTGTGTGTGTGTGTGTGTACACACCTCTGCCGTATCCTTGCTAATGGCAACAGAAATTGAACAATTTCAATTCAGCTTGCATATGTCTGTAAGCTTCAAAACTCATCAGCATGAGGTTATTAGGTTTGCTGGCCGCTTGTTGGCCTCTCGGCTCTTGTTCGGCTGTAACCAAAAGACAGGCGGCAAGAGGAGGAAAGGGAGAGATGCCCCCTGCGGCTCACCGTCCACATTTCCTCCTGGTTCTCCTTAGAATCCAATAAAGCTTGACAGTGAACTTAAAAGGGAGTGAGTGGTATTTAATAAAAGGCTATTTTGTCTAAACAATGATTCAGGACTTTTCGAAAGCCAGAAGAGACAGGCAGAATGGTCTTTACCAGTCCAGGTCCCCTAAAAAGGTTTATGCAGTATCTGTCTTGGGTTTGTACTTGTTTTTTTTTTTCTTTCTTTTTCTTTTTTCCTAAACTGAGCTACTGGGCTATGCTATATCCCACCGTTAGCACCTGTTTCTCAGAAATATTCACCAGGTTGTTCTTTTATCCATCCAGTTTGCCAGCCACTCATCAGCTATTTGTGAAGCACCTACTATGTGTCAAGCACTGTTTGGGCTGAGGGTACAGAGGCAAATAAAAGGCAGTCTAGGCCTTCAAGGGCATCATACTCGACATTTACACAAGCAATCACACTCCAGTGTGGCAAGTGGGTCCCCCAGGGCAACACCTAGCCCTGAAAGGGGGGGACCTCAGGAGAGGCCTTCCAAGAAGGGGTCATCAGAGCTAAGTCTTGAAGGACAAAATAGGAGTTATTCAGGCAGAGGTGAGAGAATGGCCCAGGCTGATGAAAGGCATAAAAGTGAGAGAGAGTCTGGAGGTTCACTCACCTAGCCTGCCGGGCCAAGGACCTCTGCCCTAGGTCTCTGTCCCTCACTGCCAAACTATGGCTCCCATCCCTCACATTCCCATTAGCCACGTTAGTTCTGTCCTGTGAAGTCCCCACGCACACTGGACGAGAGAAGAGTAAACCACGGCTCCTGGGGGAAATACAGGCTTACATTCCTGCAAGCCTCTGGTCACACTTTCATCAACTGGATGATATATAACCTTGTGTTATGTGTGTTTCTGTTTTAAAACACCTTGTTCAATATATATCATTGACTCATTAGGGTTGAGCTCATGGCCAACAGGCCTGTAGCCTGGGCCTGCATGATGCTTATCCGACACACACACTTTCTCCATGAGGCATGTCACAGCCTTGTGCTTACAAATGTCACACTGCCATTTAAAACAACAAAATCACCAACCAAATACCCCACAATGCAAAGCATGGCAGTAAGTAGACCACGAAAAGGACGCCTGTGCACAGTACAAGAGCTGAAACAAGCAGTGAGGGCTGTCTTGTCTGACTTCCACTGGGAAGGTGCACGCTTGGACCAATCCAGTTTTTTTTTTTCCACTCTGCACATATCCATGAATGATCGCAAAAGTGCCACAAGTATTGATGGGGGGGTTACAGCCCTGACCGGTGTGGCTCAGTTGGTTGGGCATCGTCCTGCAAAGGGAAAGGGTGCCGGTTCCATTCCCAGTCAGGGCGCAGAGGTGCAGGTTTGGTCCCGGTTGGGGTGTATAGGGGAGGTATCTGATCAATGTTTCTCTCTCACATCAATGTTTCTCTCCCTCTCTTCCTCCCTCCCTTCCCCTCTCTCTAAAAATAAATAAATAAAATCTTTTAAAAATAAAAATAGACTTGGGGTTATAAATACATTTTAAGAAGTAGACAAATCCACAAATATGAAGTTTTGAATAATAAGGATCATCAGTATTTCAAAAATGTTAAGTATGGCTCTGGCCCAGTGGCTCAGCTGGTTGGAGCATCATCTCGTGCACCAAAAGGTTGCGGGTTTGATTCCCACTCAGAGCACATACCTAGGTTGTGGGTCCGAGCCCTTGTCGGGTACATGGGGAAGGCAACTGATCAATATTTCCCTCTCTCCTTCTCTCTCTCTCTCTCAAATCAATAAACATATCCTCGGGTGAGGATTAAAAAAAGAAATGTTAATTACGAACCCCTAAATTCTCAGGGCTGCCGATGACCACTCTAATCAATATTCTGATTCTTTCCATTTTGATTTCTCCTGGAATACAGGAGAAAGGCATGAGTGAATTTAGAGCTATCTATGAATTAAGACTAAAGACCTGGAAACTCACATAGAGCTGCATTGTACTAAAGCAGTGTTTACAGTAGCCCATTCTAGAACATTCTAGAACAGCCTGTCAGAGGGTGACTTGTGGCTCACTCTCTGATGGCGGGGGAGCCAGACTCTAAGGTGATCATTCTGCCTGGAGCAAAGCTCCTCAGAGCCCCAGAGGCGGGGTCAGCCATCGGCATGGGCACTGTCCATATTGGTTTATAGAGGAAGAGCAGGAAATCATGGCATCTTGGGCCGGCCAGCTGCGGACACAAATGCGGCGAGCTTTGCTCAACAGTGTGTGACCGCAACAGCCTGGGCAGCCTGGTGCTCCAAACTCTCCAGGACAGTGATAAACTCCGTGAGCTGCTAAATCCCAGGGACCCTTTCATTCTACATATATCCATGAATGATCGCAAAAGTGCCAGAAGTACTTTCAGGGCAATTCCTTATTTGGAACTGCAGACATGGGACTAATAGATTTTATTTAATATTTGAAAACACAGCTAGTCTCTGATCTAGGAGGAAAAAAATCATAGAACACAGTTCCTTCAGAATTTAATCTCTTAGCTGACCCACTAACTTCATCAGGGATTTTCCTTTATCATTAAAGAGGCTAATTTGTTACTTAGAATTTGATTATTATTTTTTTTACACCCTGCCTCAGCTCTCTAGAATTTGATTTTTAAAGAATCAGTGTGTAGCATGTATGCTACATGCTACACGTGGGATCTAATGCTAGATTTTTTTACATTTTCCTAATTTCTTTAATTTAACTTTTAAAAGATAGGCTTATGTTTTTACTGTTTGTATTTATTTTTTTGCTTTATTTTTACTTTTCAATTACAGTTGACATACAATATTGTGTTAGTTTCAAGTGTGCACCCCAGTGATTAGACATTACAGAACTTACTAAGTGATCATCCCAATAAATCTTGTACCCATCTGACACCACACACAGTTATTACAATATAATTGATCATA